ATCATCATCATCATCATCATCATCATCATCATCATCATCATCATCATTCACCAAGGATGGGAATCTTCAAAGGCCTTTCCAGGCCTTCGCACGGTCCCTTTTCCAGGTCTGTCTTGGTGAGCCATGCCACCATCGACTCAGTTCACATCCGACCGAGTGATTAGGACCAGGATCGACCCCGAGAGGCAGCAACCGCTATAATTATTGTATTAAAACTTACATATTTCGAGACTTTGTTGGGAACCAGATTCCAAAGGGGTTTTGTTGGTTCAATCTTTGAGGACCCTCTGGCTATCCTGGCTCCGGAAAGATTTGTGTCGGCCAGAAGAATTTCGCCGGTGAAAGGGTGGCCAAGCTTGATCATTCATGGGCGCGGATCCTTGCCAGGCTCATCGCTTGCTCGGCCACTGGGAAGAGGCAGGAGCGCAGTGTGTGGCCCACGAGGAGTTTCAGGGAGAATGAACATGACTGCTTTCTTGGGTCACTAATGGACGCCTCATCAAACCTACATGGCTACTGGCTACTCATCCAACGCCCATGTTCCATGTAAATGGAGGGAACAGTCATGTTTTGACCATGCGTCATGTGGGTTTGTCGGATCCTACAACATGTACAGCCCACCTCCGAGTAATGGACGCTGGCAAGCTCCCAAGCTTGATATACGCCATACAGACTTTAGTGACTTTGGCATCTCATAGCAAGCCTGGAGCCTGAGCAAAACCCTGTGCTGTTTCTGACAGATGATTAGGCGTTTCCCCTGGTGTCCTAAGGTGGATTTGTGGTTCCAGGTCACTAAAAGGGACTCACGAGCCGCGAGCCAGCGCAGACGGATCAGACACGGGTGCCATGGCCGGGATCAGGCGCATCAAGACCTGGCGGAGAGCCAGAAGTTGGACTTTGACGACGACACCGCCGAGGCAGGGAGCGCAGGAACGGGCGAGCGGGCGTGTGGAGCAGGACTGGGTAGAGAAAGAGAAGAAAGAGAAGGAGGCATGTTCTTTTGTGGGTGGCACTATTGATGGTAGAGCTTTAGGAGCGTACTTCTTGTGATGCCGAAGAGTCTTGATGTCCATCCAATACAAGTGAGCTTTGAAGCCTTCTCCTCATGTCATTGGGCAACACTTACCACCCCCTTCGCCATGAGTCTCAGTTGGTATGGCTGAGGCATTTGGGCCTTCGGCTTTTGGCGGTTGTTGTTCCCCAATTGTTCTCAAAGTGGTTACCGTGGTTGCCTCCAAAGGACGACTGGACATCCCGCTTGAGGTGAGTACAATCCTTGAGGCGAGCACCATCATTGAGGCGTTGCACGTAGAACCCCCCGGTGGATCGTGCAACGCTTCGCCGCTGCCCCTCGCTGGTCCCTTTGGCCAGTTACAAAAGTTTGTGGACGCGAAGTACAAGAAGATTGCAGAGCGAAAGAACAGAGAACGGAGCGGGATGTTTGAAGACTGTTTGAAGACGGCGTTGTTTGGGTTTGCGATACCGGACGGACTTACTGGCTGTGGCCTACAGCAAAGTTGGACCGGGCCCGTCCGCGGACAGCCCGGACAACCCTAACTTGCAAAGGCTGCGAGACATTTGAGACATTTTGGAGGTTCGCAAGAAGAATTTGGACAACAATATGACAATATTTGTTCAATAACTTATTTTGTAGAAGATTGGCTAGGATTCATGCATTTGCAGCATTAAATCTTCAAGCTTTTTGGTCTTTACCAAATTAAATGCTGAACACTAACTATATAACCATTCATTCACATATTTGTCATCAAGTAATAGCAGAATAAACTGTCAACTCTTGCTTGTTATTGATGGTCACATATATTTGGTCTTTTGGTATTCTTCACCTCTAGATTTAGATTCGGTTCAAATGATGGGTAAAAAGACCAAATAATATATATGGATGTCTTACGTCTTTATCTTCATGTTCATTATACACCAATATAAAGATATATAGAATGAACATGAGAAATGCTATTATATAATGAACAAAACATAATAGTATTCTTGTTGCTATTTGATCATTTGTTAAATATTGGAAGCTATATTGGAACACAAGATTAATCTCAAATCATCGTTTTATGTCTCTTCCGAAGTCAAAAAGGGACAGTAGCTGACTGTGCCAAGCACACTGCAGGATCAAAGCCGAGAAAAAGAAAGAACAGGCGCCACCTCACTGTGGTACTTCCCAGAATTTCTGAGCTGGCAGTTGCTTGTCTCCTTCAGGGAATTCTTTGTGACCCATCCGATTCAGGAACGCAAACGCCGAAAGGAGGAGGCCAAGACAGGGTCGTGCGCAAGGGGGGAGGTAGTGAGGTTGGAATCTGATAGTTTGTGTGGTGAAGCAGTGGAAGTTCTTCGGTTTGGCGACCAAGTTTAGGGGTTAACTTCTCCAAGGTAGGGTGGGAGGATGGCGCACTTGCTCTTTGACCCACTTGAAAATCTTTGGAAGGGGCCATCCCTTCCCTACCCGTAGATACCCCAATTAGACGACGGGATGGCCTGAAAGCACAGCAGGAGATGAGACAAGGTAACGACAACGATGATGATGATGATGATGATGATGATGAGGAGGAGGAGGAGGATGAGGATGAGGATGAGGAGGAGGCGGAGGCGGAGGAGGAGGAGGAGGAGGAGGAGAAGGAGAAGGACGTGCATCGTGATAATCATAGGTGAAAACGTATAGCAGGACGACCTTTAAGAAACCCCTTTCGCAGGATGGAACCCAGACTTTGAAACAAGCGGTGCAACGTGCTGCTGGCAGTTGCTGTTCGCGCACTGAGAAGAGCAGCGCGCAAGTTGCAGCCAGGTTAAAGACCTCGGGGCAGAGCAGAGTGACCAAGAACGACAAAAAGAAGCAACATGGCACAGCGTAATTTCGCCGCACTCTGTGTCGCAGACTAGATGCAACCATGTGACACCACAGCACCAATCATCTCGCTCGCCAGCAGCACGCCGCGTTGACACACGCACGTGTCCCGTTCCTCAGCCGTGCGACATGTGTACTACAAAGTTGGAGCGCAGAGCTCCCAGAAGCTGCTTCCCGTACTAGATTTGTACTAAACAGTTGCAAGTTCTGCGCCGGAGCTCCCAGAAGCTGCTTCTCGCACTACAAAGTTGCCAGGTCTGAGCTCATGAGCTCTCAGAAGCTGCTTCCGGTACTCGATTTGTACTACAAAGTTGCCACTTCTGATCCCAGACCTCCAGAAGTTGCTTCCCACACAGCAAATTTATAATTTGTACTGCAGTTTTGCCAGTTCTGAGCCTGCACTACAATTCTACGACGCAGTTGCCAGTTCTGAACCCAGACGCCTCCCAGATGTCTCTTAGTTTTTCGATGGCAGTGTAACTTCCACCTTGATTTTCGACGATACTCACACACTTAGATTCATAGCTCACATGAATGATCGTGCGTTTCAGAATGTAATTCGCTGGTGCTTTAGCCCTTGACTTTGCAGCAGTTGGACCTTGACTTGCATAACGGTATGGGGATGGGTCCGCAACTGGTATTGTTTGAACATCGGCTCACTGGCTGCTAAGGAAAACTGGAGTAACAGCTTGATCAAAAGTTCAAAACATCGCAGGTACAGAGGGATGATCAGTCCCTGCTTCCCACTCTCGCCCACAGCTTCGTTGCGTGTGGTAGGACGAGAGTCGCGCTAGCTCCGCGCTAGCAGAAATTGCTGAAATGCGTGCCCGGTAGTGCACGGCCCAAATGACAGACCCAATAGTGTGAGAACAAAATGCGCGCAACGCTCCTAGGCAAAGTATGAGCGGTGCTTGACAAACGCCAAAGCCCACACGAGCCGGCAGAGCAAACAGCTCAAGCACATGCAGCAAAGCAGTGCAGAGAGCAGCTCATCTAGCAGTGCCGACGGCAGCTTTAGTCAGCTTAGGTACAAAAGTATGCGCTAGTGTATTTTGCTGTGAAACGAAGAAAGCCATACCGTATACCATAAAGCAAACGTTCACCGTTAGTGTAAACTTTATGGAAAACAGGAAGCGGCACGCAAGGATTTCTGAATTCGCGCCATTTTCGGGAACAAGACTTTCGTCAACCAAGCATGTATCTCTACACATGTATCTCTACACCTGTATTTCAACACCTTTTTCGAAACACTTGCATGTAATGTCTGTATCCTCCCAACACCTTATACATATGTATATATATATGATATGTGTATATATATATATATTATATATATCAAGGTGTGTTGTAGCAGTTGCCTCACCTGCATCTCTGCACCTGTAGGACGATGATGATGGTGATGATGATTCTGATTCATGATTGATGATTGATGGTTGATGGCGATGGTGATAAATGAAATAGCGATGATGACGGTGGTGATGATGATGACGATGGTTGTGATTCGTTTGCGATGATGATGTAGAGGAGGATGAGGATAATGCTGTTGCTGCTGCTGTTGCTGCTGCTGATGATGATGATGGATGGGGCAGTTGGAGTTGGCAGCTGTTCGTTCAGGAGAAACCTTCGCAGTGGCTTTCGGGAACAAACATGGAAATCACATCAAAGCACTCAACAACGGATTGTGTTTCTGCGATTTCGGATTGCTGTTGGAAGGATCGCCCGTCGTGAATCGCTCGTCGTGACATCAAAAGCGGCTAGGTACTTCAGAGACTCCAACATTCGGTCGAAACACACCCGTTTGATCCCTTTCCAGCAGCTTAGTTGATGTGGCTGACGTGGGAGCTGTCCGTCAGACGGACAGGTTCCTCCAGGACAAACTAATGCTTGGTTGTGGACGACCCAAGCATCACCTGCAGGTCCCTCTTGGCGATCCCAAATGTTTCATCACTTCAGAAAATTGATGGATAGCTCAGCACGATCCAGTTCGGTCGCCATAGGGCCATAGGCATACTTCTGTTTGCCGAAACCCCTTTTTTCCGGAAACCATCAAACCATATTTAGACCATGAACTCTTAGGCACGTTTGTTTCAGGCCTTCCGGCTTGGCCACTACCTCTTTTTATCGAGTCCCTCGGTGTCCGGTGTCCCCTGTCTAGATAAGAATAGTGATCCAATGTGATCCAACTGTCCAACCATGTAGCGACCATCCATTTGTATGTCTGAAATGGTGGTCACCACAAATCCCCAAAAACCAGGGAAATCGGACTAGCCCATCTTCGCAGGGAAATTTACTGCCATGACCTGTGTGCCCACTTGACACCTCCGCTGCCGTCGTGGGCGTCGCGGCCTCCGACCCAGGCGCAGCGTGCCTATGAGGAAGCCAAGAAGAACCCCGACGGAGGCCTAAACATGACCAGGAGAACGGCCGGAAGCATTGAAGATCCATCCAAGCATACACTTTGTTTTTTAGATGTTTTCGTGTCCGCGGCTGCTTTGTGTACAGTAATTAGATCTGTTTTTGAACTATCTTCGATGGTGCATCACATTCATCACTCCCAAGGAAAGTGCTCGTGTCGTGTGTTTCGCTACAGCGAAGCGCAAGGGTCACATCACCTCGTTCAACTCGCGCTTGATGCACACATTATGCTTCCATTGCCACGAGTAGGCAACACTTGAGATCTTGGCATTCGCTTGGTTCAAGACTTTCTGTTGCAGGTTCCCAGCAGGTTTCCACTTTTCAATCTTTTTCAATCCTTTTCACAAGCTGTCACAAGTTCGTCTACTCAGAACCAGCAACAAGACGTCAACACATTGTTAGGGGTCTGTCCTCTCGCAAAAAGAACCCCGTCAAAAACCTCGAACGACACTGAGCCACCTTGTCCCAATCTACCCAAGATTCACTCAACACAACTGCAGTGTCAAAGACCTTCATCCTGTAAGCCAAAAACATCACAGCATGCACTCATAGACGTGTTTGTTGCCCACCCCCCCGAACGAAAGACTTCGCAACATCCGATGCTCCCCGCAAGGGCAGCAGATCAGCCGCGGACGAACAACCACCACATATTGCGACCAACCTCCCACGTTCTTGCCCAGGTGTCCCGGTCTTAAGGAGTGAACCCACTTCTAGACGACGACGGCCTTCCATCGGAGTCGATACCGGGCGGTTCTCCAGGTGTCCGACGCAGGTGTCGGTCGGTGTTGTTGATACGTTTGGGTCCCGGAACAGACCAATCACTCCTCCTCCAGTCTATGGACTCCTCGTTTCGCTCTTTGTGCTGTCAGGACACATATATACACCTGTCAGGACACATGGCGAAATGGATCTAAATTATACTGCATTTTTTTTCACTTGTCGATCCCAGAAGACAGCGTGTCATACAGCTTGAAATGCTGTCCAAGCCATGGCTGACCTGCAGGACCCCGCATGATGAATTCATATGATTTATGTATACCGGGATACCTCATCCAACTTGACAGTCCTGAAAAAGAGGCGTGCTCACTCAGACCTTCAGCATCCTTTAGCCCTGATTTGCATTTGATACTGAGCCACTGTATAAAGGTTGAATTTCTGTTCGCGGGGGATCTAAGGACCGGCTTCCCCATGAGCCTGTCCTTTCTCCATCCCCCTCCGCGCCTCGTCATCAGATGGCTATGGCGGCTTTCCGGGCTTCCCAGGCCATGCACGGTGGAGAGCTTGTGAATGGATGTGTGGTTGGCCGGAAATACTTGGTGTTCTCATGTATAGATTGTCAACCTCTGCAGTATCATGATGAATCTTGATGACTAATAACTTTCAGGGTTGAAACGCGGACTCATATAGCCTATGGGTTCGAATGACATCTACATCTGCACAGATACACCTGCAGCTCAGCATGGCCTAAACGTGGACATCAACTCTGGTTGTGAGTGGAAGACAGTTCTCGTCAAGATCCTTTTTCATCACTGGGAGTCGCCCCATTGCACGAGTCCTTTGAAGTGCCCGCCAGGCATGCCCGGCATGGGCGGCATGGGTGGCATGGGTGGCATGGGTGGCATGCCCGGCATGCCCGGCATGCCAGGTCGGAAGCTGGTGGTGCCGCCCGTGCACATTCTCCCCAGGGGCTTTTTCAAGGAATTTTGGTGAGGGAACCGGCCGAAGTGCCCGATGCCGTACGGTTCCCGTCTTTGAGGTACAAGATCTAACTAGTGTTCAATCAAGATATAGATAGATATATAGAAGGTGGTCTCAGTCGATGGAGAGGAGATGTGAAGAGAAGCAACTGAAGCACATACACATGAGGTGTTGAAACCACTTTTGGTTACCCATTGGAATCGGGAAACCTATGGAAACCTCCTGACCAAGTGGCCAACCAAAACAACCCAAACGTATTTCAAACAATGCTGCGGGAGGCATCGATCCTAGCATGCTGAGTGGCATCATGAGCGATCCTGAGCTCATGCAGGCTCGTCCGTGGCTTGAGGGAGACGATCAACAGACAACAACGGAAAAAGACATGCGTCAGTCAGACCCATCATGTACAGCACTGGCCTCAAAAGCAACCGGCCTAGCAGCTAGCAGTGGGCCGCCAAGATCCGTTTAGCCCTCCTGCTTTTTCCCCTCTGCGTAGGAGGCCATCGCTACTACTAGGTTGGAGGTCATGGCTAGTAGGTTGGAGGTCATGGCTAGTAGGTTGGAGGTCATGGCTAGTAGGTTGGAGGTCATGGCTAGTAGGTTGGTTTTCTTGACCCCCTGGTCCGCCGATGTCCTTCGCTCCACACGGCCTTGGACGTCGAGCTCCGCGCTCTCGCGCCCCTCGGGGCGAGGCGTTCTCGGATCCGAAGATGGCTGCAGCCATGCAGGAGTCGCCGCGTGCGAGGGTCTCCGACACCAACTTCAGAGCATCCAGATGAACCAACTGTGTCCAGGAAGAGAGGACACCATGAAAGTAGGACGACGATGGGATGATGGTGAGCGACCATCGTTTGTTTGCAGTTCCGGATGGTCGTCACTATCCAGCAAGTCTTTAAAGATCGTGGGTTGGGTGTTTGTCTGCATAAGCACACAATTCATCACAATTCTTGTGTTTTTCTGCTTGAATGGGCTTTAGTGCTTGGTCTATTTTCTTTCCTCTCGCTCTTCAAAGAGGTTTCTCCTTGCAGGACATCATGAGCAACCCTGGCAACATCGCCAAGTATCAGAACGACCCAGATGTCATGAACCTCATCAACAAGGTTGGTTCAGCGGGATCACACACACACACACATCAACAACAGGGACAGCAAGAACCAGTGTGACAAGGATTTGTACGCAGATGTTCAAAAGGTGTTACTGTATATATATATACATACACACAACATGCGGCCTCCGATGGCACAACATCTCAAGTTAAAGCAATTCAATTATTTGATGCCTCACCTCAATGATCAAGAGAGAACAATGCATTCTTGCATCCTTGCTGCAGTGTCTTTGGCCGAGCTGTAAGTCAGTATGTGATTGCGATCATGGGCGCCGAGTGCAGCACGATGACTGTGAGGAGAATGGCTAACTCCTCCTCTTGGTGCTTCACTAATCAGGTCCCAGAAGATCAAGCACTGCTGTCAAGCATTTCTCAAGAGGCTCATGAGCCAAGTGAGAAGAAAGTTTCTCAACTGAATCATGACGTATTCGAGAATGGCCAGGAAGGTCCATGTGATCCTTTCTCAGATTCTCAAAGCACGGTGTTGCCAGAGGGTGCGACCAGTCCAACATCCATCCAGAGCTACTTGAGCGAGAAGTCGTTGCTGATCGATGTGAGCGATGTGGTCTTCCAGCGGGAGCTGTGCAGCACTTGCAAGAGCAAGGTGTTTGTGGCTGGTTGGCGGGGGCAACTGGTGGCTGCAAAGCAGCTGAAGATGGATCCTGAAGGCTTGGCTCAAAGAAAAAAACACTAATTAAGAAATGGTGGATAGGATAGGCCGTTTCCCACGAGGCCAGGAAAATTTGGAGGAAGTTGACCATTTTTGGTCCAAACAAACTAGTAGTGCACCCAGGTGATCAGGAGGAGAATGATGCAAAGTTGACCGATCTCATCAATGACGTTCTCCTCTTGAGCAAGGTGAGCCACCCGTGCCTTGTGAAGATGCTTGGTGCAAGCATCGACGCAGCTCAACCCATGTTGGTGACCGAATTCCTGGAGAATCAGGATGTTGAGAGCCTTGTCTACAACTGTGTAGGCCAGCGAAGCAGTGAACCAAGATGAAGCAATTTGCAACAAGTGAAAGCAATACCGAAGGATCATTGAGAACCATCACAAGCAATTGATTCTTTTCTCCATGCCCAGGACCTACATGCACAAGCAACGTGCCAGTTCCGTGGATGGTTTCTGGAAACCTTGCTTTGCTTTGGCGATGAGCTGGGCTTTGTCCACTGGTGAGGCTTTGGCGTATTTACATGGTCGAGCACATCCCATCATCCACAGGGACCTTAAGCCCTTGAACATGTTCCTGACCAAGGACTTGGAGGCCGCGCGGCCGCGCTAGCCGAGACACGAGACATATATTGCCGCTGGGCCCGTCCCCCAAGTCTTTTCAGAGCTTTGGAGGCACGCCCATCGACATAAGCCCCCTAAAGAATGGATCTCAAATGGGCAACAAGGGGACCTTCTTCATGGAAGAAGGGGAGAAGGATGTCTTTCTTTCGGTTTGTGGCAGAGTGACTGTTCGGCCAAACACCGGGGCAATGGCCATGTGGACACCAGGGCAATGGCCTCGGCAAACATGGTTCCTTCCAATGGCCTTGTGGAAAGGGGTTCAGTGCCCCAACTCGCGTTTTCTTTGCGCTTATTGAGTATTGCCGCCGCGCATGTGAAAATGAATAGGATTGAATAAGGGAGGTCAATTTGGCTTTTGGGTGCTTCTGAGTGATAGGTTTTTGATCCATGCCCAGCCTATACTCATGGGTTTCTTGAACATTTCTAAGCCTCATTCCAGGTGAAGATCGGCGATTTCGGCCTGGCCAAGGTGATGGTAACCAGGCCTGCGGCAGACCGTCCGAACCGGTCCAATGAAATCAACACCCGGAGCGAATGCCCGCCGGTTGATTTCCAAGCTTCAAACCTGGTTCGCAGAACTCCTTTCGCAAGCTTCCGCAGACGGAACCAGGAAGTGCACAGGGGTAGGCTGGGTTTGTGCTCGTGGAAGGTAGGCGAAAGCTGCAGCGTAATGTCAAAAAATATGACATGGCAGATGTAAGATTTTTTGAGCATAACTCAACCGGACTTCCCTCAGAACTCAAATTTCAAATGTCTCAGTGTTTCCAACGGGTGGCCTTTGCAAGCTTTGCTTTAAACAACAGAGTTTGCTTGTAGCAACAGAGTTGGACATGTTGATGCAATGCACGTCCAAAACTTCCCCTATTTTGTTCTGTACTCAAAGGGGGCTTGATGGCCCGCTGGACCGTGCACTTCCAGTTGGCCACCCAAGCGTTGAGAATCAGCTGCTCGCCACAAACCACATCTTCTTGTTTTCTTGACAGATGTCAGTACAGCAGGGTTTGTCGCAGTGCAACATCAGCATAGTTGTTTTTCTACAACCTGTACCAAGAAGGAATGTGGGGGGCCTCTCTAGTTTGCGCCTCACAAATGATACCAGGTTTCATAATGGGGCACAATATGACAGTGAGTCAAGACCGAAGCTTTGATGTACACCAGCACTGGAATCGGCACCTTGACCATGTCCTTGTCTCGATGCCTCGACTCGCAGGGTCAGCAACTGGGACATCTCGTCACCTGACTTTGTCCTCTGTGTTTCTTTTTTCGCGCACTTTCCGTGACTCTAGTCTTTCCACCTAGTTTCCTGAGCTGGAAAAGCCTCACTGAACTGGAACAACAACAAGAACAGATTATATATGTACATGAAGGAGCTCTAAACCGTTTAGTTGTGCACTTGTAACGAAACGACACGACATGTTGTTTGCAGATTGCTGCAGGCGTTGCGGATCTCCAGACGAATCACCCAAAATGTCGGGAGGTATTGGCACTTGGCGTTACATGGCTCCAGAGATTGCTCGTCATGAAGACTATGACGAGAAAGTGGACATTTATGCCTTCAGTTTGATCTTATATTTCATCTTCTCAGGACGGCAGTCTCTTGGCTGCATTGGCAGAGGGATTTGAGTGAGGGTCACTTGGAGGATCCCCTATTTTGAGACACACATTCACATTCACATCCGTAGTCACTAGTTGTGCAGCGTGCAGTCCGAGTCATGCAAGGCCATTCTACTTGTATGGAAAGGACCCCAGAGTCGTCTTGCAAGCCTACCAAGAAGGCTCCGGGCCAACGGATGCGGCATGATTTTGTGCTGTCTTGCGAACGGATCCACCGACGGCGACATGCAGAAGCTGGTTATTGCAAACACGAAAAGACCATCAAGAACACATCCTGGGATTTGCACATTAGTTATGATATGTTGTGCTTTTCCAGGGATTTGTGCATATTGGTTGTAGTACATACAGGAGAATCCATGACTTAGGTCAGCCATTGGAGACCTGCGATTGACCAAATACTCCCTTCCTGCGGTTCCGCGTCGGCGCAGGTGAGGAGCCACGACCCAATCTGGATGCTTCCGTGGGAACACCGGAGCTTCGTACCTTCCTCGTTCAGGCATGGCATGCCAATGCACATGATCGGCCCTCAGCTGCGCAGTGCGTGGAGCGGCTCGGAACGATGGAAGCACCAAACCTGAAGCTAGGCTGAAGAGATCGGAAGGAGGGTCTGCTGACATGTGTTGTGTTTGGTCAGCTTTTCAGTGCTAAAGTGGGTGTCCCAACGAAACACTTTAGAGCTGGAGATGCTTGATGGGGACTCAGATGTACAGTATGTGCTTTCATCTTTCGTAGTGATTCCTCCTTGTGCAGGGTCCTATGACCAAGGAAAAAGACCATGAAGGACCTGGCCAAGATGCTCAAGGGGACAAGAGCCTGCTCAAAGTCAACAGTATAAGGCATGTGTCATGTGTCCTCAATGTTTCTTTAATTATTGCAAAAGTTATATGGTTTCTTGATGTTTCTTGTATAGGCCCTCAAGAAATGTGATTTCGCCTGAGAACGTTTGTGGCGTTGAAGATATTGAATTGATTAAGAACTTGCATAGTTGACGGCGAAAGCGCAACAGGGCACAACCAGGCCATGCGACAGTAGCATTGGAATGGTACAGGATTTCATAGAATATCTAGATTGTTGTTCCGAGTATGAGAGTGGTTTTTCCGAATCGCTTCTCGGAGGCCAGTCTCAAGTTCCCTCCCCCGTTGGGCAGTCAGAAACTGATCGTGGAATCGAGAGGTTGCCGGATCCGATCCTGCAATCGCCTTTTCCCATGCTCTGACCGACCCTGTGGGTGACCTGCCAAGAAGGCCTTAGGCGTTTGAGAATGCTGGGAGGATGCATTGGTGTGTAGAGAATGCACTTTCCCGCCCTGTCAAAAGACGATCATGACATACTATGACCATGTAGCAAAGAAGCGCAAAAGGCGGTTTGCAGGGAGAATTGACCGGAAAACCTTTGTTCAACATGGGACTCTTTTTGACTGTAGATTGTCTGTAGAAAGCTCGAAATCATGGGTTTTATGTGGTTTTATTGGTGTCGTTCGAGTCTGATGTTGCGGGGAGAGAAGGAACCACCTCGAAATCCAAGCCCCAACGGAAAGTGTTGGATGTCACAGGGGAGTAAAGGGAAACGAAGTTCTTCGGATGACTTCCATATCCTTGCTCGTTGGGCAATGGTATCTATGAGCCTTGGTGTTTTCACGCATGCCTTCTCTTGAGTGCGGAAATTCGATGCACATCTTTGCACTCAACGTGCTTGGCATGTATCGGAATGGATCAAATACAGAATTAGCATATTGAAGGAGCCTTAGGATTGTGCCAAGAACGACAAACTGAGTGTCGTTTCAAAGTTTCCTCTGATCTCCCCGGAGACGATCGGAGCTGTCGCGCCTGAAAACAATAAGACGCACGTGAAATGATGACAGTATAATCCGAGCAGAATCGAGCAGACACCTGGACGCGCAAGCAGACCAGACCAACCAGATGGTCGAACGTCCAAGCTCTTTAAAAGCTCGAGACTCGAGAATAAATACTCTTAGCTGGCACAATGGAATTTCTGGTTTATGGCTATCCTTCGGTAGATCTGCAGGGACACCTCGTCTGACTGCCGGAAGCACCAAGGCTGAGGTCGCCAGGAAAATAACAGCAACTGTATGTTTTGTTTGGCTTTGAACCAAGCCGTCAAGTCGTCAAGCATGTGACAATGTGACATGTTTGCGTCACTACTGATGATTCAGCTGTTTTAGTTTGATCACATCGGGAGGGTCTCGCCTTGGTGGGTGAAGCTTGGAGCCAGTAAAGCATTGGTCGGCTACCAGAAGTCTTTTTTTTTGTATAGAGGACATGACATGTGTCTGGATTGATCGGCGCAAAAAGGATCGCGCAGATCGATGGAGAGCCAATGTCCACCAATCGGTGCTCTCTGCCGGAGCCAGGCCTGAACTGCAATAGCAAACCAGTGGTCCCTTAAACTTACAAACATTGGGTTTCATCAAGCACCCCAAAAATGAGCCATTGAGGAAGCTTTTTCTTGAGTGCTGAAGCACAAATTCCTTGGAGTTGGACACACCAGCTGTTGGAGTTGGGCAGACGAAGCCTTGCGACTCCGCGCTTCGACCCCAAGGCGTTGGTCAAAACCATGTGGTCAAAACCGCCAGAGTTCATTTTTTGGTTGGAATAAGGAAGCCGCAGCTGGCAATTTTGCAGAATTCCCACAGTTCCAATATAATTCAATGTACTTCATCTTCTGACTCCCTCTCCCTCTCC